ACCCTTCTTTTCTGGCTTATTGTCAAACCTCCTAGACATCATTGTCCTTTCTGCCAAACATACTCTTCCTCATTACCTTCTTCTTCATAGTCAGCCCAGTTTTGATCAACAACTAGCTTCCCGAGCCAATCATGAACCCTCCTATTTTTTAAGCGCCGATCCATATTATTATGATGATACTCATCTCGAGCATGGATAGACCGGCTTTTGGCTTGAGATTGCCTAAACTCCCAAAATTGCTTACTGCACTCTGGGCAATTATTTCTGTTAGGCAATTTTAAACTTTCATTCCAACAATGTTTGAAAAAGGACAATTCCAATGTGATTCGGCTTGTTTTTTTCATACCTCTCCTCTTCTTGTTGACGCTAGTATTCTTTCTCTTCGAACCAACACTGATAATCCTTTTTCTTCTACCATTGCCATTTATTCAACAAAATTCGAGATGTGACACATGGCCTTATTGCTCCGTTCCTTGACATCTCTCCTTGCTCATATCGGCTCTTCTATTGGTCATGACGCCTTTTAATCTCTTTATATTCGTCAGTCGATATTTACATCTTTGGATCGACGGTTCTGGTTTCTTTTGCCCTGGTTGATGTTAGGACTTTAGTCTTTCCTTTGAGCAACTTAACATTGACCATATTCTGATATCTTGGGAAAGGATTATCATCAACTTTCACCTTCCGAGGTGTATCAAATTTAAGCTTTCCTTGCTGAATAGCCCTCTATATATGTTGCTAGAAAATTCTGTACTCGTTAGTAGAATGAGAAGTAGCATTATGAAATTTGCAGAACTTCTTATTCTTTAACTGATCAGGAGGTAACATAACATGATTGGCGGGTAACTTGATCTGTCCTCTCTCAAGCAAGAAATCAAAGAGCTTGTCTGATTTTGTGACGTTGAAATCATAGCTCTCCTCAACTCCTTTAACTCAAGGATTTGGCACCATTACTGTCTTCTTACCCCAATTTCATATAGCCGTAGCAATCTCTCCTTCTTCATCGTCCTCATCGTCGTCATCAACTGAATATGGATTATAGGTTTCAGCAATTGCGGCACTCTTCTAGAATCGGGTATCTCTACGCATATTCTAGAATTGGCTATTGAGTGTTGCCACTCGTTGAGCCAATTGACCTAAATTGTCAAACTCTTGCCCAACCAGCTTCTCTCTCCATGTTGGCAACATTCCTTGAACAGCTAAAGCAGCTAGCTGATCATCAGTTAGATTCAATGAGAAGCACAAATTTCTAGTCTCTCGGAACCTCTGAAGAAACTCGACACCCAATTCATTAGTTCTCTGCCTTATAGTCGTCAAATCTATGATTTTCTTTTTTCCTGTCCTAGTATAGAAATATGTATGAAACTTCTTCTCTAGGTCAGTCTAATTGGTAATGGAATTAACTAGCAATGATGAAAACCAAGTGAAGGCTAGTCCTGACAGGGACAAGGAGAAAAAACAAACTCGATGAGCCTCTTCAATGGATGCTTCGCCCAACTGTGTAAGATACCGACTGACATGTTTTATTGTACTTGTGCTATCTTGACCAGTGAACTTAGCAAATTCTAGGAGCCTGTAATTTGTAAGAAGAGAGACCAAATCATACCACTCTGGATATGGACGTTTGTATAAAAAGATCTGCCCTTTTGGTTTCAAACCGAACTGATTCTTCATCATCTCGGTCACTTTGAGCAACAACTCATCAGCATTTGAATCTAGATTTCTCTGCAATTATTGACCCATCTGCGGTTTAAAATTTAGGGTACCTTGATACCCTAGATTTGGAATCATATGAAGGGTATTGTAATATGTTCCACAATGATATCCTTGTGGAATCTCTATATGTTTACACCAAAAATTGGGAAGAAGAACATGGGAACTCGAAGCTTCTAAGATCATATCATCAAGGAATCGATTGCATAAGGGTCGATATCAGCTGATTCACATGTAGCACTAGAATCGGCTCTCTTTAGATGACACCAGCAGATAACGACAAAAAGCTACGGTTGGCGTTGAGAAAAACATATCGAACTCTACAAAAAGGAAAAGATTAGGATCCAAGTTATCTTAAATTAGGAATGTTTTATCTTATGCTAGAGATTGTAATGAGTCATACTTAAGTAGGATTCATGCTTAGGTTTCGGGTATAAATATTGGACCCCGGCTATTGTAAAAAGAACATCCAATCAATCAATACAAAATACTTTTTTCAGCTCCATGCCAACCCTTAGGAGTAGGAGTAGTGTAGATCTCGGCGAGTTCTTCAACAAGCAGGGCTGCATTGGTCCGGCCGACCTTCGGCTTGTCTATAAGTACCGGCATGGCTTATACTTTGATTTGTAAGGCTGCATTGATTAAGTTCGACCTCCACTGCGAGCTCTAGTATAAGCTAGTTATCGATCTTTATCTTGTTCAAGTACAGCTGCATCGGTTAAGTTCGACCTCCACTGCTCGAATTACATTAAGGTCAAGTTATCGGCTATACCTAAGGGTGGCGTCCTTCGGGTAGATTCATTAAGTTACCGATCTTGCTGATGTTTTTACTGTCAATAGCTTTTCAGCAACATCAACCTGCACGATCAAGATCAAACTAGATCGGCTCCATATCCTTTTAGTCCATTGTTTGCTTTGTGACAATATGATGTTTCTTACTTTAAGTGATGGGTTACGTTTTATTGACTGTTCTACTTCAATCTTGATCGCGCATAGTATGTGGTTAAGGCACGCATGATCTTGAAGAGGTTTGCTGGCTAGTTAAATCCGGTCTATAGTTCGCTATTATGGCTGCAACGATTCGGTCGATCCCCACTGATGGAACTTTAGATTGGAGGATGCTAGTTGATAGATTTGTTCCCGATCAGGTGTGACCTTAGCTGTTTGCTATGCCTTCATTGGCTAAATAGTTGATCGCCTGTACTTTAATGCTCATAGTATCTCTTCATCATCCTGTTAAATATGAGTAGATCTGTTTTCTTTAAAGATTTAGTTTGTTATCCTTATTATGGCTATCATTGATCTGATCTAACCCCACTATTAAAGATGATAGGTTAGGTTTGAGGAGTTGATAGGTCTACTCATATTGAATAGTCGATTGTTCACATGTTGTGACCCTTTTTCTATTGGAATCGGCTCTTTAGCTTTAGTTTGTTGTTATCATCATAGCTGCATCAATCCGGTCGAACCTCACTGTTGATGATAGTTTATTAGATTCGAAGCGTTTGTAGAACTGTTCGTATTAGACAGCCGACCAAGAGCAATTGTCGTGTAGGAGCAGATCTGGCCACCGACCCCCGGGTGCCCGGCAAGTTTGCCGCCGCCCGCCGCCGAGGGTCCAGGACACCTCCAGATGACAGATGCTATCTAGGGTGCCTAGAGCCGGCCATCCACCACCGGTCGACGCCATAGGTAGGCCAACCCTGCCGCAGCCTACCATCGAGAGAGATCCAGTCGCCGGAGCGCCAGATCTGTCCCTAGGGGGGTGGATCTAGCCGGCCACCGCCGTAAACCGCCGGAGACGGAGAGGGTTAGCGGCCGCCGCCGCCCGACAACCACCCGGTCCGGTAGCCAGTGCAGGCCGACGCTGCCGCTCCCCATCGTCGAGGAAGGAGAGCCGGCCACCGGTGCGCCAGATCCGGCCCAGGAGGGGCGGATTCGGCCAGCCGCCGCCGCCCCCCGTCGGAGGTGGAGAGGGGGGGGAAGGTAAAGGAGCGATGGTGAGAGAGAGAGAGAGGAGGTGCGAACGGAGCTCCTTTTTTCGGGCCCGCCACTGGCCGCCGCCACCGCGCGCTAGTGGGCGGCGACGAGGGGGTGCTTGGACGGCGGCAAGGTCGCCCCTGAGTCGCCCTGTTGAGGACGCTTGGGGGGTCGATGGGCTAGACTTCGAGTTTGGACCCTCAGCGAATCTTCGCAAGATTGATAATGAGGGATCAAATTTTATCATATCGATATCAAACATTAGATCTTGTTTAGATACACATGTGTCCATCTCAATCTATTTGTGTATGTGGTTTGGTCGTTGCAAAACGATGATGTCATGCCTTATACCCTGCCAGGCATGCTCAAGTACGCGAGGCAAGCGGACGAGTTCCACAATAATCTAGACGTCCACATTTGATGGAATGGACGTACAACATAACGCCTCGTCGTTAGCTCTGATCACGCCGTGGCCGTGCTGCCCCGCGTCGCGCGCGAGGAAATAAATTCCCTCTCGGCTTGCCCTGTGTAATCATGTATCATGAGGGTGGGTTTAAAACACGGTGAAAAAATGGCTTGAGATTGTGCGGTGTTTCTTCATGTGTAATTGTGTAAAGATTTGCTAAAAATTGTTGGGTAAACACCCGTCACGTGAATAGTAATCAATCGTGCTAGATGTAAACTCTGAATCTCTGCTATTTCCATTTCCCAGGCTCTGTTTGGAAGACAAGTAATATATGTTGCGAAAAAAATAAACCAAAACAAGTATTTGGTTGTATCTAAAACCGGTGTAGTAATACGAGGAGAATTACTCGGCGGCTGGTCTGAAATTTTCAGACCAGCCGAACGCCGCCATATCTAAAACCGGTGTAAATTACCGGGGCTTAATTTTTTTCCGAACGGAACGCCGAATCTCTGCTTGGATGGCCGGTGACGCTAATTTTTTTACAGCCGCTTTGGTCCAAAACGTCCGGAAAATAATAATTGCCCCCGGAGGTCCTACTATTTTTCCGACGTTTATCGGAAGGTCATGCTCCGAATCTTCCGAAAGCTCGGCGGGCGTCGGTCTCCAGGTCCGAGAGCTCGGCGGCACCAGTGGTTCCTCCCGAGGAGTGAGGAGTGGCGGGGCTCTCGTGCCTCGCCAAGCTCTCCTCCGACCCCGGCGGCGCGTGCCCTCGTCGCACCGACCGTCCCTCGCTACGCCACTGCCGTAGCCGCCGCCTACGTCTACGAATCTCTCCATCCCAGCCCATGGCCATGGAGAGCGGCGAGAGAGGCAGCTCAAGACGTGGGTCTCGGACCGGCTCATGGCGCTGCTCGGCTATTCCCAGGGCATCGTAGTGCAGCTCGTGATCCGGCTCGCGCAGGACGGCGCCTCCGCGGGGCACCTCGCGGCACGGCTCGTCAATCTTGGAGGTTTCCCCTCCTCCCCAGACACTGTCGCCTTCGCGGAGGACGTCTACGGCAGGATTCCTCGCAAACAGGGCGCAGCTGCCGGCGCCAAGGGCAGCGAGTACCAGAGGCAGATGCAGGAAGCGGCGGCGTTGGCGAAGAAGCGGAGCGAGTTCAAGTTACTCGACGATGACGACGGTGAGGCTGGCGTCACGCCGTCACCGCGTCGTCCTGTAACAGCAACAGCCGGAAGCGTTTTAGGAAGAAGGGGGCGCCCCAACAGGGTGACGAAGAGGCGTGTCAGGGACTGGGCCACCAGGTGGGCTTCCAAGCTGGGCTGCGAGATGGGCTTCCAAGTAACAGTCGCTGGGACAGGAGATCAGAATAAAGACCAGAGCGGTCGGTCATCGAGGGGCATGGAATAGAACCTGAACCCCGTCGTCTTCTTCCTCTGTCCGAGAACCCTCCCCTTGCTGTTCTTGCTCTCTACCTACGATTCCTTGCTATTCCCTGTCTCAACTCCCTCTGATTCTCCAGATATTATATCAGTTACTCTTGTAACAGTGATTGGTAGTCAAGGTTCGTGACAATTGGTATCAGCACATCGCTCGACGATGGAGAAGAGGGGCCTCAGCACCACGGTCTCAACTGCGAGGCACGCGTCCTGGCGCGTCATGGATGGCAGCGGCGACGTGAATGAGCGGGGCGGGCGCAGCTGCGGGCACACGCACCGACGCCCGTGTCGCCCTCGTCCTCATCGTCTGCCTTGGCTTCGCGCGCGCCACCACCACCATACATTTCGAGGGGAGCTGCCACAGGGGACCCCGGGGCGTCATCATCATCGTCGCCGCTGGGAGCTCCTTGTCCGCGCAGCCTGCGTGCAGACCCGTGTTGGCGTCACTAGAGAGCGGCGGGGTGCACGGTGCTGCAGTTCGCCAACAACAGCTTCTTCCGCTACTTCAATTTCGTCATCCATAGCAACCTCTACTGCAGCACCGGCTTCACCAACCCCTCCTCCACCACGGGATGTGCCCTCGATGCTCATGGTTGCTGCCTCGAGCAGGCCAGGCGCTCTCTCCATTCGTGCAGCAAAGGTGTTCGTTGGAATGTCGAGTCTGCAAGAGGAGCGGTCTGCTCTGTCAAACAATGTGAGTATACCAGCTATGTTAGTACATGATGCAGTCTGCTGCTTCCTGGTAACTGCATCAAGGCATTGTGAGATTCTCTCACCACCAAGGACAAGCATTTTCAGCTCTGCAGTATACCCATCAGTCCAGTTCTGGGGTGTCAAAATGCTCACCAAACAATTACAGAGGAGCATTCCCTTTCCTTCACTTTCAGAATGTGATCAGACAGAGTGGTCTATTGGGCTATCTGTCTACAAGGATGCTCTATTTCTATGGGTTAGTGGCAAGTGCTCAGTGACGGTTAGAGGGCATGGTCTTTTACCACAGCCAAAACCACCTGATCAAAGTGGTTGGAACTTTCCCAATTTTGAGCTGTTACTTGCACTGCCCTTCTTTGTGTTGCAACCGGTGCCGCAGTCCACCTCTCTGTTAAACGCTGTGGAGTTTGCCATGGCATTCTGCACTGGAGTGCTCTCAGTGACTTTTGGGATGCAAATGCTGGTGTCTTATGGAGATCACGTGGTGTTTGATAGAGGAAAATCCATAGAGTCATTGTGTAGGCCATTCCATCAAACAGATTTTATCTTGAGTGCTGCAGTACCAGTCAAGCTTTTATGGTCATCACCACAAATCAGAATGGTGTTTCTACAGGATGTCAATGTCGCAGTGCAGCAGCTAACTGACATGCAATTATTGCAAAATTCATTGGTTTTCTCTGAAGTTATCTGGATACAATTTCGAAGGCCTGTAGCAGTGGACACCTTGAGAAGTCACTCTGTGCCTGCTGGGAAGTTGTTCGTTTACGATCAGTCTACTGTGCAGATGCACTTTGTACTAAGCTGGTGTGGATGGTTACCTCGCACAATTATGCGTTGGGCTGAGCATGGCACAGTGACCCGAGCAAGTGTGCAGTTGTCCATTCAGTACAAGAAAAATTCAAGAGAGAAGGAGGATGCGTGCCTACAACTTCATGTGGTATTTGATGTTCAGTTCAGTGAAGTTGATTGCCAGAACAGCTTGGTCAGCCCTGAGCGCAGGATTTCTTTACAGAGCAAGGGTGGTTTCAGAGTTGACAAGCCCAGTAATTTCACATTAGTACAAGGTCCTCAGTGTATTGATGACAATGGATGGGCAGGTATGCATTGGAAAATTTTCAGTAATGGACAGCAACATTTTGAGAGATTATCACCAGGGAACAAATTTGATTTCATTCCTGATATGTTGGTGATGGAAACCTCACTTGTGCAAATGCTTGATTGGTCAGATAGCTACCTGTGGGGAGCATTTCTCGGTTCTTTCTGATGCAATACTACTCAATACGTTGATTGGTCTGACAATGGTCCATACAATGGCTGACTGCAGCAAGAAGCAGTACAATTTGGGTATGGACATTGAACCAGAGGTAACACTGTATTCCAACACAAGCCTTGGTAAGCTGAGAAGGGATGAGGATGAAGGCGCTCTATCAGACGCTTACCGGCACAGTCAATCTGATATGTATGTACAGTTGATCCAACTCAGATGGGATCCCGGTGGCGTCAACAACAGCGGCTTGGGGGCAAGCCGCATTTTAAGCGGAGGGGAATGTCAGGGACTGGGCCACCAGGTGGGCTTCCAAGCTGGGCTGCGAGATGGGCTTCCAAGTAACAGTCGCTGGGACGGGAGATCAGAATAAAGACCAGAGCGGTCGGTCATCGAGGGGCATGGAATAGAACCTGAACCCCGTCGTCTTCTTCCTCTGTCCGAGAACCCTCCCCTTGCTGTTCTTGCTCTCTACCTACGATTCCTTGCTATTCCCTGTCTCAACTCCCTCTGATTCTCCGGATATTATATCAGTTACTCTTGTAACAGTGATTGGTAGTCAAGGTTCGTGACAAGGCGGCCGCACTCTCCGATTCTGGGTGGGACGGCGTGCGGCAGCGCTGGCGGTGCCCGGAATCGGACGAGCTGCTACTGCTCGAGCTTGGCGACGGTCGGTTATCTTTGCGCCGTGGAGGGCCTGCGTGGCGAGGCGACGGCAATGGCTTCGGCGTCCCTCGCAACAAGGCAGGCGGCGGTTCTAGTGGCCCTCGCGGCGACGCGGGCGACGGATCCGGCGGTGTCGTGAGTCAGGCAGCCCGTAGCCATCACAGCAAGGCGAGGAGCAGCTCCGGCAGGCAGCACGACGAAGAGAGCGACGCCTCCTGTCGAAGATTGCACAGACCTGTCGTGGCGGCTCCACGTCTAAAAAGGTTACAGTTGTATTCTAGTGCGCAAGATATTACACTCGGAAGCTAATTAACAGTGAATAAAATTACAAAGCTGCCAACACAGGGCCAGGATGGAAAACTTAGGGTGCGTTCGGCTGGCTGGCCGGCGCACTCACATAAACACCGTTCATATGAACCGTGTTTTCAGGCAGAACAGTATTTTTCTCTCACAACAATCAGTTGGAACACTATTTTGGCTTATTTTTCAATCCTGCCGAACGGCCCCTTAGGTGGGTAGAAAGATTCAATCCTTTTTTTTATAATGTAGATAGGTAAGATGATGAACTCACAAAGATAAGCATGATACTCGGTGATTAAATTTGATGTTGACTTATCATGTGCACTGAAGTTACCAATAAGTATAATTTAGATCTTTCCCAACGGACCACTTAGGCCTTGTTTCTCAATCTGTGTGTTGAGTGGGTTGACATAGAATTTAAACTAAACTTCACGCCAATCCACCCCAATACATATGAATTGAGGTAAATAAATAGACATCCAAACAAGTCTTTACAATGTATTAGCTCACATCATTTGCACAAAATATCTAGATCAGATTGTTAGAGGGGCTTGCGAAGGTAACAGGTGCTTGGTCCGACAGAAGTTTCACAGAGGTAATAAGTGCTTGATCCGATGAAAGGGTCAAGCCCTCACTTGACTAATTGAGTACGCGTTGTGCCAGAACCACTAGCTTGGGACGTTTAAACTGCATTTTAAGTGAGCTACATGGCGAAAACAGTATTGGAGCTTCACAACTCGATCCACTATTCTTGACCAGCACTAAACTCTAATCACCGTTGAGTCATAAACTAAACTAAACTGAACTTTGGCCTTCATCTGTTATCACCTTTGTGTTTGACCTGTGGTGACTGGGTCTCGCCTTCATAAATTAAGCATCCTAGGTTCCATCATCCATTTCTTACAGTAAATGGTTGTGTCAGGTCCTTCATAAAAAGGTGCATAGTTGAATCAAAAGGTTGAAGAAGGTCTCCCCGTTGTTGAGCAACGTTTCTCAAATACTTCAACAAGAATTGTTACGAAGGGCATATATATAATTATTAAAAAAATCAAATGGCAGGGAATCGAAATCACACAGATAAGGTTTCCAAATACGAAAGTGAAATCACATTGGCGAGTGACAGCCCTATAAGCACTGGCGGAGCTCGGTAGAGGCCAAACTAGGCTCCGGCCCCTGCTTGTCCGCGACACATTTTGAAGTAGCTGGTAGATTCACGAAGGAAGAACCACTGCAAGCTTACAAGTTACGAGTAACGAGAAGCAAGCTCGCATGCAGCAAAGCAGTAATATGTGTAGTACTCGCTAAGCACCCACACCCGGTGGTACGAGGTTGTGTCGTCAGTATAAGTCAGGCACTGGTCAGATGTTTTGGCAGCTAAGCGACAAATTACTGTAGCACAACTGAATAATCGCCCCCCTTCATTTTGTAGCACGCTCCGCCGGCCACTGCCTATAAGGCTATAACAACCCTCGCTTTACCGCTTGTGTGCCATTGAAAAGCATGAAACATTACTCCATCACATCAAATGCATATGTATTAATCATGCTGCTCTCATCCAAATCACATTTTGCTTCACACCATCAAATGCATACATTAATCATGCTGCCCCCATCCAAATTGCATTTTGCTTCACATCGCTTCCTCATGCATGATCAGAAGTACAACCATGAGTTACTCACGTTAGTTATACATAATACCCGCTAGAGCAGGCATATAAAATATACAACAGAGCTTTATGTTTTTCATGATTCATTCAAACTGCTGTAGCTTAGCTATTCAAGAGGTTGAAGTAAACTGAGCCAATGAGTGTGTCGTGATCTACATATTGCTACAGCCAATGCTCTAACCATCTGAGCTATTGCCCAACTTTCAATTGTTAAAAACATTCGCTCTAGCCACTGAGCTATTGCTCAACTTTCATTTGTTAAAAACAATAGTTCTTTCATTTTGTATTTTCTTCCCAACATGTCGAGAGACAAAATTGAAGAGCCATTTACTAGAATTTGTAGTCATTTTATTATGGAAGAGGCTTCAAAGCATTAGACATGATAAACACCTTGGTAATTTAATTGTTGTTTGGTGATGAAATTTGGGTTTTCTACCATAGAAAAAGGTGATTTATAATTGCTCTTATATATTAATTATTATTAGCTATTGAAGTGCATAATAGAGGAAAATTAAATTCAAATCTTAAAGCAATAGAAGGAAGAAAAACTACAATATAGTAGCTTTTTTATAAAGTACAATATATTCCTTCCGTTCTAAATTATAAATCACTTTAATTTTTTTAGTACATCAAATTTACTATGTATCTAAACATAAGGTATGTCTAGGTACATAGCAAATTCTATATTTGGAATAGAGGGGGTAGTAGCTAATAAAATAACAAAGCAAAGAAGATAAAAGTAGGGCCCTGTTTGTTTCTAATAAGTCACGATCTAGAGAATCTGCTGTCTAAATAAGCTGGACGTTTGGCTGTCCTGATTATTTCTGATAGATTATCTGTCCTGGATGTAAATTGACCTATGTACCCCTGAGGCTAATGATACATCTTTTGGTTCGTCACAATGATTTGAAGGCAATGGTGGGAATATTTTTAAAGTTTGAGATAGCAATATGGTTCCATTAAGGTGCAATGTACAATAATAGTGGAAAATAACATCCATTTGGGTAATGTAATTGCTACTAAATACGTTTCTAACAATGAATCACCCAACCAACATATTAGCAATAACATCACGGAAAGCACCCATATTCATATCATCCGCCGAACCACTACCATCAGCTGAAGGAACTTGGGACCCAACACCACTATTGTCTTCCACATAGGTTTCAAAATATTCATCATATATGGCATGGTCTCTAATGAAATTATGAAGAGCCATGCAAGCAACGATAATCTTTAATTGCTTCTCAATTGGATAGCTAGGTAACTGCAAGAGAGTGCGCCACTTCATCTTGAGAACTCCAAATGACAGGAGTGCTGGCCGGCCTCCACTGATATTCTCTCTGCCTAGGGTGGGAGTAAATTTGCGTGCAATTAACTGAGTTCACACTGAGAATGAGGCACTGTTAGTCATGATTAGATTTTAGGAATTTTGGTCTGAAGGAGGGGGAGGGAGGTAAGCATATTGGTGGAGAGTAGAATTGCTTTGGATATTGTACGGATCTAGCTAGTGGAAGGCAACAAACGGTCCGGGAGGGGGCCCCCATTGCTTTTTATTTGAGGGAGGATCGGGGAGGGACATTATTTACGGTCCGGAGGGGAGCCTCTCTGTCGGTTACGGAGGAAACGAGGGAGGCAATTAACTGGGAGGAGACAAAGTAGCGGATATGGCGCACTGGGGATGAAGGATTTTTAAGGTGGGAAGAGTAAAGGACAAGAGAGATGAAGCCTGTAAAGTGGCGTGCATGGGTCAGGATAGGATCACTTTGGGAAGGAAAAGCGCCATGATTTTAAATCGCAGCCCAAACATTTTTCAATGACCCGCTTTTTATTTGACATAATCTTGACAACGCGACATTAGCGTTGATCTATGGATGCCGTCAATGTAATCTTTGGTGGCGTTAATCCGCTTCTCCCGTTGATGAACTCTGCTCCTTTGGTGGAGTAGTTTCTTTTGGCTTCAGCTGATGAAGCAGCTTCATGGAGTGAATCTGTTTTAGAGAAGGGTTTGGTAAAATAGCTTCTCTGGCTAGTTGGAAACAATAAAGTCTATACTATAAAAGAGCAAATAAATTGAAAATAGCTTCTCACCCTGATATTCCTACACACTTTAATTTTTGTTCCTTAGATCTATATTAAAATTAGATCCGATGCATCTAAAATTTCCACCGTGAACTGATGAGCAGACTCGGCCAGAAAACTTAAACGTTTATGCGTGTTTCTCTCGTGGTCTGGCTGGCGATCTCTCCCACCCTCCGTTTTTTCTTACAAAAAAAAAAATCATACCCACCCCTATACCCGCATCGCCCTCTCCAAATCACGTAGACAACAAGACAGGCAATCTCCTTCCATCAATATATCTTCACAACAAGACAGGCCCCTATACTCACTTATAATGATATTCTCTCTGCTTAGGGTGGGTAAATTTGATGCAATTAACTGAGTTCACACTGAGAATGAGGCACTGTTAGTAATTTATTTTTAGGAATTTTGTCTGAAGGAGAGGACATGTACTGTAAGCATATTGTTGATTGGGAAAATTGCTTTGGATATTGTATTTATATGACTCTTTCCACAACAAACATTTTTATGACCCATTGCTTTTTATTTGACATGATCTTTACATTATTTACAATATTATCTCTGTTTAGGGTGGGTGAAATTGATGCAATTAACTGAGTTCATACAAAGTAGTAATAAGGCACTCTGTTGATTAATTTATTTTTAAGATTTTTATGTAAAGGGCAAGACATGTACTGTAAAGCATACTGTTGATCAGGATACAATCACTTTGGGATATTGTATTTATATGACTCTTTACATAACAAACATTTTTTATGACCCATTGCTTTTTATTTGACATAATCTTTACATTTTTTACATTAGTTAAAGTTGATCTAATGAATTTCAATGTAATCTTTGCGGTTGACTGTTAATCCACACATAACAATTGATAGAAAGCTACTTAAGAGTCTATGTGTAGTTCTCTCTATCTAATGACAACACTGTATTTCTGAGTCCATAATAGAGTAGAAATATTTTTAATTTTTTTATTTCCTCTATTATTTTTAAAAGACGCGTGCGTGTCGCACGTGCATTTTCACTAGTATCTATAATACCTCCTATCTTCCCTCCTTTTTTCCTCTTATTTTCCCTCAACTATTTTACTGTTTCATTTTTCTACTGCTCCTTATCTGTCTCCACTCTCCGAACGCACGCACAGAGTCTTCGTCGCCGCCAGAACGCCCTCCAGGCCTCCACCGCAGCTCCGGATGCGCCCAAGAATCCCTTCCAAACGGCCCATGGGCCGTGTATTGTTGGCTCTCTGGATGCGCGCGCTCGA